TGCCCCCCCCCAACTCCTTGTGCCCCCCCAGCCATCCCACTGGCAGGGCGGTGCAAGAGGCAGAAAAGGCCTTGGCTCTGTGTGAGCACTGCTCAACAACAACAGGTCCATAGAACAAACACATCGCTCTATTATCAACACTGTTTCCAGCACAAATCCAAAACACAGCCCCATACTAGCTACTATGAAAAAAATTAACCCTCTCAGCTGAAACCAGAACAGGGGGGTCTTACTGAACCCTACTGCTTCAGCCTTGCCAAACGACACCAGGCCTCCTGGGGAAAGCCTGGATTATACGTGAATTTCTGACAATGCCTTTTTTACCACTCCAGCAGTGTTTATCATCACAGAAAGCTGTGATGATAATAAACTACTAACATTTGTAAGGAATTTGAACACTGAAGCTGTAATGTAGTTTCATATACAGGAAAGCATTTGAAGTGCATTTAGTAAACAACATCAGAAGTACTGTAGTAAACAAACCAAAAATAAATAGCAGCATGGTAGTTTCCTCATAGAGAAAGCTTCTGTTCTAAGCACCAACAGCAACAGGGATATCAGGTGAGGAGCTGCAGGGGAAGGAAAATTACACGATCTGTAACTGTTGATGGCTGTCGCCATCAGAAGGAGCAAAGGCATTCAGAAGGAGAAAAAGATGAAGGTTACTCAACTGATTTTAATTGTTACTTCTTAGCTTGTCAATGTCTGGTTTGGCATCTTTAATATTCTCGTAATACAACTTTTGTGAAATGTTGACAGGTAACTCATACTTGACCTGCTCTAGTCTGTTGCTTGTTCACAAAGCAAGTGCTCCAACATCACTCTGTGACATACTGAGGGAAAGTAAACATTTTTCACATCTTATACAAGACCACAGAGATAACACTCTACAGAAAGTAACACACAGAGGCTGAGATATGCTATTAACCACGAAGATTTGATACATGTAACAAACGTCACTCTGCAAATGGTGCTGTGGTTTAGTTATGTTTTAATATGTACAGAAGTGGTATTTCAGTTATTGGAAAAAAGGAACACAATCATCAAATTCTCAACCACAAGAAAAAAAAAAGGTGACAAGTTGACAGAAGAGGTGTCAAAGCACACAAACATTAGTTCAAGTATTCAGTTTTAAGGTACAGTGTAGTAAGTCTTACAAAATTTTACTGTTGTCTACTATTATACAAACAAAATTATACTTAACAAGAGTGGAAAATGAAATCCCAGTACATATTTGAACTGCCAGTAGAAGCTACATATTATGCAATTATATACCATTTTGCTTTCTCCTCCCATCCCCACATTTTTGTTTTATTTTGTACATAGACAGAGTTGCTACCTGGATTTCAAGAGAACAAACTTTAGGCTACTTGGAACTACATAGCAGTATCCCCTGAGAATCTGCTTTTGAGGGCTCAGAGGTCCATGAATCAGTTTTTAAGAAGCACCTTTTAGAAGCACAGGAGCAGGCAATCCCACAGTGTTATAATCAAGTGAGTGGGGCAAAAGAGCAGCTTGGCTGAACAGGGAACTCCTCTTGGAATTCAGGAGGAAAAAAGAAATTGTATGATCTCTGGTGGCAAGGTCAGGCTTTGCAGGAAGATTACAGAGCCATGGTTCGCATATGCGGGGAGTAGACACAAAGGGCCAAAGCTGAACTAGCACTGAATCTAGCCAGTGTTGTATCAGACAATAAGAAAGGCTTTTTTAAAGTATGTTAACAGCAAGAGGAGGTCCAAGGAAAACATTGGACTAATACTTGTTGAAGATGGTCATTTGACTAATAGGGATGAATTAAAAAATGAGGCATTCAATGTTTTTTTTGCTTCAGGCTTTGATAATACTGATTGACCTTGAGTTACCCGGTCCTCTGAGTCAGAGGATCCCCAGTGCAGGAACACTGACTTCCTGTTTCTGAATGCTGAAATTGTAAGGGACCGCTTCTATCAGCTGAACGTTCCTAAGTCCACAGGGCCTGACAGGATCCACCCCAGAGTACTGAAGGAGCTAACAGATGTTACAGCAGGACCCCTCTCGATCCATCTTGGGAGTGTGGGGAGGTCACTGCTGACTGGAAGTTAGCCAGTGTTACTCCAATTTACAAAAAGGGCATGAGGGAAGACCCAGGAAACTACAGACCTGTTAGTCTAACCTCAGTACCTGGAAATATTATAGAGAAGATCACCCTGGGTGCTACTGAAAGACATTTAAAGAACAATACAATCCTCAGGCACAGTCAACATGGGTTGACAAAGGGAAAGTCTTGTTTAACTAATATGCATCTACGATAAGGTCACCCATCTAGCGGATGAAGGGAAGGTGGTAGATGTAGCTTTTCTGAATTTTAGTAAGGCTGTTGACACTGTCCCTGGACAAGTTGTCCTACTGTGAAATGAAGAGGTACCTGGTGCACTAGATGAAGAACTAGCTGAACGGCAGGGCTTAAACGGTTGTAGTGAATGGGGATGCACGTGGCTGGCAACTGGTCACCAGTGGTGTTCCTCAGGGCTCAATTCTAGGAGCTGTTCAATATTTTTACCAATGATCTGGACACATGAGTTGAACGTACCATTAGTAAGCTTGCTGATGATGCTAAACTGGGAAGTGCTGTTGAATATATCGAGGGATGAGAGGACTTGCAGAGGGATCTGGATAAACTGGAACACCGGGCAATCATCAACGGCATGAAAATTAACAAGAACAAATGCTGGATTCTGACACTGTCCCACACAACATCCTTGTGT